ATCCTATAAAACTCCTCAACCGAGTCTTGTGCTTAGGGGGTGTTGTTCTGTATGGGCTTTTTTTATGTGGAACTATGCCCATTCGCACCCTCAACCTATGGATTTTCAAAGAGCTGACCTGATGTAATAACATGGCGTTGGCGGAACCTCAACCGGATGACGAGCTATGAGATCTGCGTAGAGGGCTTTTTGGCGTATAGTGGGGAGTATCAAGTCATTACGTCTTGTCCTTTGCCCCTTTACACAAAGAGATTTGGTGGCTGAAACGTGCAAACAACACGAGGGGAGTGGAGGAGGCAACAAAAACCGCCTCGCTGGCAACTGAAGAGATGGCATAGATGGAATCACGCGCCTTGGACAGCCGATTCGGACATTGCGAATATCATTCAGAAAGTATATAAATACCACGACTACAGCCTTTCTGAAGGTCATTCACTCTACTGGATATTGCTGCATCAGTATTGAAAACATCCCTCACACTTAACGGTTATGTCGATATCTCAAGTGTATGGGCGATGGCCCGATATTGTTATGCTTCTTTTTATCTTTCTTTTTGCAAAGGCAGCTATCCGGTATACGTTGTACTGGAGGATAATGAAGCAAGAAGGGTGTCAAGCTTCGTGCAAGAAGGCATTTGTTCGAGATCCTTTCATCGGGCTCGACTTTGCCTATGAGCGCCTGTTCCAAGGATCCCCGGCAAGGAACCTGAAAGGCTCTTTGGAAATGTATAGACGCCTAGGATCCACCTACACCGTTAATCGGTTGACAACACAGACGATCTACACCTGCGATGTTGGAAATATCAAACACTTACTCGCAACCCGGTTCGATGACTACAAACTCCCAGCTGTGAGGGTCTCTGTAATGGGTGACCTACTGGGTCCGGGAATTTTTACTCTCAATGGGCATTCATGGTCTAACGCTCGTTCCCTCCTTAGGCCTGCTCTGAAAAAAGAGAGGTTACATGGTCTATCAAACATCCTGGAGCGTCATATTCAATCAATGCTTGGCCAGATCTCGTCCCAAGGTGGCTCACTTGATCTGCAGCCTTTATTCTTTAGCCTCACAATGGATGTTGCTACTGAATTCCTCATGGGCTATTCCACGAATATGCTCAACAATCCGGATGGGAGTGCGCAACAGTTCGTCGATGATTACATGGTTTGCTCCACTGAAGCTGCTAGGAAGATGACACTTGGTCCTCTCCAGTTCCTTCGGTTCAATTCTGCAGCCAAGCAATCAAAGGCGAGGGTATTCAAGTATATTGATGATTATATTGAGAAGTGCTTGAAGTCGACGGAGAGCGGGAACTCGACGGTTGAACAAAGCAACCTTCTTCAGGAACTGTCCGGTGCTATTAAGGACCGCAAAATGCTTCGCGATCAAGTCTTGCACATGCTTCTTGCTAGCCGAGATACAACAGCGAGTCTCCTGAGTAATCTTTTCTTCATGCTTGCGCGGATGCCAGATGTTTACGCCAAATTGAGAAGTGAGATCGTTGCTGCGGTGGGTGATTCTGTTCCAGACTTTAGCCAATTGAGGGAGCTTCAGTACCTTAGATGGTGTATTAATGAGTGTAAGTATCTCAGGTGGATTTATATTTTATTCCGTCACCCTCTATTCCATGCTAACTGTGTTCCAAGCATTGCGACTTCACCCCGTCATCCCTTCCAATGCTCGAGAGGCAGCCAAAGACACAGTCTTACCTGTCGGCGGCGGACCAGATGGCAACTCGCCTCTCTTTGTCAGGCGTGGCACAATCGTTCTGTATCATGTCTATTCGATGCATCGAGACCCCGCAGTCTACGGCAACGATGTGGAGGAGTTCAGACCAGAACGCTGGAACGGGTTGCGGCCGGGATGGGCTTTCTTGCCATTCAGCGGTGGGCCGAGAGTATGCATCGGGCGTGAGTGTCCTCGAGTTCTCATATATACGTAGATTTTCAAGCTGACCACTTCATCCTACAGAACAAATGGCATTGATGGAGTCCTATTATATAGTCGTGAGGCTGGTTCAAGCTTTTGAGAGACTCGAGTCGACGGATTACGAGCCATGGAGGGAGCTCTTTGCTCTGGCGACGACTTGTGAGAATGGAGTGCACGTGAAGCTGCATGAAGGCTAATTACTCAATCGACTTCTTTCGGTTTCTGCTCTCCTCTGAGAAAAATTCCCTCTTTTTGTTTCTCGGGGTTGAGACAGTTGATGAAGGTCTACAGCGTTAACATGAATTGGCCTAAAGTACAAATAATTAGTGCCAACTGCAGTGTTTCTTCCACTCCCACATGAGGTCACATTATTAGGATAGCAAAATGGCTCTTGGCTTTTTACTCAGTTTTCATATTAACTTATATAGCTTCAACATTAAGCGGCACTGTCATGGTTACAAGAATTTCAGTTACGCTATGCTAATCTTGGCTTTAAATTATACATATTTGGCCACAACGCTGTGAGATGAACAATCGGTAGCACTATCCGCCTGGTCTTACTCGCAGTTCGAATCAAGAGGTTAAAGTCGAAGGCCCCAGGGAAGTCGATTCCAAGGTTGAGGACTTTGGTTTCGAGTCGTCCTTCATCGTGATCCAATGGACCATACACGAAGCGAACACAACTGGTTTAGTTATTAGCCCGTGTGTTAGACATTATATTCATCACTTACGATCGAGACAGCATAGAAGGAGGCAAATCCAGCCTTGCTCGCCTTCCAAGATAATCATGACCACTCCATTGCTATAAAACGATGTGGTTAGCTTGGCTTATTCTGGTCTCACAGAGCATGCTGAGAGCTGAATTGGTACAAGAACGTACACAACACTGGTAGTAAGGATGGCAAACCCCCCGATAAAGCTTCTAAGAGCAATGCTTCTGAGTCTTTTTGTTGCAGGTGTCGGGTTGATTTCTCTGAATTGATACAGCGCTACCAACATGGTTAGATTCAGTTCCGGCTTGGAATAGGGCACAGGTGCACCAACTTCTGAAAGGGATGAAAAAAAGTATTGACAGGTAGATGTCAACGAGGGCACCGAAGACAAGAAATGGAATGATGCTGACTCTCTTCATTCCGATGACACACTGGCCGTCATCGAATCTCGCAATGCGACTAGCTATGAGTTAGCCTTTGATTATGTGGCGTGGAAAGAGGCGAGGGCATACTGAATATAGAGGAGAATGGATATAACAATGTAGCCCAGGGTTAAGGTGACAAAGTTGAATATGTACAACTTGCTATCTAGCCGCCTTTTAATCATACCTCGTACAATGTGCTATGATTTGTGGTAAGCTCTGTTCCTTCAATATCATCGGAAACTGGTTGGCAGTTCGATTTCAACAAAAAGGAATTACTTACGGCTCTCTCGGTAAGAAATAAATATAGCAGCTGCAACTCCGTGTGAATAAGGTTCTTTATCTTTATCTGATTTCCCACTTACAAGCTTCATCTGTGTTAGTCACAAGGTATCCTTCAGGTCCTGTTTTGGGTGTTTACCTTGGTAGAGAGATAGCAACCGAGGCATACCAGTATACCCGCGCTGCAGACCTCCAGGCTCACATTCGTTCCCACGGCATACTGCATGATTCCCACAGCAAATACAAAGAGGTAGGAGTCCACGTATAAAGCCAAGGTAACTGCATATTGCCATTGTTAGAGAGGACTTGTCTCGCAAGGAAATGGTTCTATCGCCTACGCCATATTGCGTATGGGACGTTTCTCCAATTCGTAATCCTCGCTATTTTCCGATCTACTCTTGCAATTAGTACGGCTGATTGGGGGTCGCTCGAACACGGTGGCATTACTGAACAAATTGGAGATCACCGTGAGTACTACCATCGTAACCACCAGGCCCATGACCCTGGCAGCGACAGGGACTTCAGCCGGCTCCTCCATCCTGCACTCGTTTCCTACACCTGCTAGATAAGTGAGTAAACCGAGATGCCGGCGTTACGATTCGTGCTAGAGAATTGAGAGCATTGATGAGTGATGATCATGCGCGAGATGAATGTCGAGGATCAGGGTCAATGAAATTAAGTGCAGGAGCAAAGAATCACCGCTCAGATCGTGTGGTGATAGGCAATCTCTTTAGTGACGAGCCTTTTGAACTTTATCTCAGCTTTGAATCTAGGCTTCTTCACATTCACATTCCAATGCGAAACACGCATCGGGTGGGCGTATCCAACTAGCACGCCCGGCTACCATCTCTCAAGTCAAATTTAGTCGTATGAGGTTCTCCCTAGTATAGGAAACGGCTTTTAAATACATAAATTACATGAATTGTCATTATACAAGCCTTGTCCACGGACGATGGGGGGATCCATGGTGAGGTTGAACCTGTTGACCGCATCCGGGAGAATCACGGTATATGAGTCTGCTGACTGCCGAAGCTTTCCCTCTTCACGCAAGCGGCTGATGTTAATTCCCATCGGCCAAGCCTCTAGCCAAAACTTCATTCAAATTAGTAATGCTCTGCCACACAAGAAACGGCACTATCTAGAAACCGGGTGAGCCAAATGAGGTCTTCGAGTACCAATTGAGCGGTAGAATTCCATGCCTTCTTAGTTCTCCACCAGCAACCCATTTAGCGTTTGAATCCGCGATCCAGGCCATCACATAGTTCTTTGCTTCAACAGTAGTTCACCATGGCTTGATCATAAAGCCAACCGTTCGGTAAAATGAACGCTCCAGACTATGGAGAGTGGCGGGTTGCTTTGAATACATAGTCTCCTCGGGCCCTGCTATTTGGTACATTCCTATTTGCTTTCGCTTGGATTGTTTCTCTTTGTACTTATCCCGCATAACTCTACTCTTCCTCTTCTTCTTTATCCTTGTACGTCTTCGGGTTTATGTGGAAGTCATAATCAATGTGCAGAACTCGTGATGAACCAACGTCAGCATCTTCATCTTCCTTGACATTGTGTCTGTTTGCAAATATGTAAGTCATCCAATCTTTCGGGGCGTGAAGGCATCGATCTAAATTGACTAATGGCAACGCTATATTTGTTTTTTCATTTATGCAAAACTTGGCAAGCATGGGCTTGAAGTCATCACTGTATCCAGCTTCATGGTATAGTCGAATTCATAGTTTGTCTCCAGATCATTCTGAGCCCATACGGCTTGCAGCATTGATTCCAGTCTTGAAAGCGGGTGGGATTGATTGGCATCGCCACTCCTTAGAAGACCCAGAATCAACGTTCGCTCCTCGTCATACCGCGCCTCACTCCCTATTATAAAGAGTGGGAACGGCAACTCACAGCGACTCATCTGTGACAATACGGCAAATCCTCGCTGGGTATATGAAGTAACCTTCTCTGACTGTCCCGAGGAGCTTCGAGCTGATCTTTCGATGTAAATGAGTAAAGCCAGTTTGAACAGTTCAAGCTGAAAATTGTCGTCCCATCCGCGTATTGAATTCCCGGTTTTTTCGGTGTTTTTATCATGGCGGACTGAATACTGTTCGAGCTGATACTCCCAATGCTTGAGTGATTCTACGTATGCTGGATCATGGTATCCTGCTTCAGACGGCCGTAGAATGCCATGAAATATATCCCAGACGAGTTTCAAAAAGTTATGGGAATTTTCGGGTAATTTCCTGCTCTGTGAGAGTTTCAGCGGCATAGTCTTCATAGAAGAACGCGCTGCTAGATTTCGTCCACTTACCTTGTGCGTTGGTGGTGAGCACACTGGCGGAGGTTTGACCATTCGAGAATCTGGCATTTCAGAACCGACAGAGGTACTGATTGGCGCCATTCTTCGCCAGTGTCGGAGAGTAAAGCCTGTCAGGGCGCCGTAGTACGAAACCCAGTCGTGTAGCATTGATCCGTCACTGCCGAGAGCCTCAAGAATATGCAGAATGCGATGCATGAGCCGCCCAGAGCCGCAGAGGAACCAAGTCCATTGGCTAGCGCTGTCTTCATTAGAATGGATCTAGATATATGGTCAGTAAGCATTGCTGGTGTTAAGATATGTTCCAGCATACTTCTAACGTAGTCAAAATCATGCCAGCGGCAACATGTCGAACTGCTTCGGCGTCATCGACGCCATAGGTAGAAGAAGACTTCAAGAGAGTAACAGCAGTCAGCTTCAGATGCATTGTTTGGTACTGATAACCGTTTCTATGCAGCGAAGCTAAAGCCAGTATCGACCATAGAACACATTTCGCAGAAGGCGTGGTGTCTAGAAGGGCCAGCCGAAATAAAAGGCCGCAAAGTTCTGAGCGTGTCTGATTAAAGGTGGCCAGGGTATTCGACACGACAGACTCAACTGGCCAATGTTAGCATTTCCTGGAGAATGAAAATTCTAGTTGCTTACAGTAAGCTAGGAGATCTATCTCTGTACTACGAAGTTGAAAGGGTTTCCAGTGAATTGGTACAGGGCGATTGAGTGACAGCAGATCCCAGTTGCCTTCACCATGTACTAAAAACACTTAGTATTGCCAGTTACTTAGAATTACACGTATAAATCACGGCCTACCTTGTCTCCCTACAGATTTCGAGAGATACTGGTGGATCTCCATGTCTAGGAAACCAGTGTGTAGGAAAATGGAACGCTGGGATTTATTGCCTGTAGATCCACGACACGGCTTCCCTATAAGAGAGCGTTTGCTTTTTGCTGCTGGCCAGGAAAGCTTAAGTCCATAGCCTCTGCATTCTCTGTTCGAGTGGGCACATTTCTGACATTTAGGCTGACCCTCGTCACAGCGAACCTTGCGATCTACCAACGATTAGCAAAGCACAAGCAGAGTTATGGTCATGGGCTAGGAACCTCGACATGTCCAGCACCCGTTAGACGGCATGATAAAGGCATTCAGGAATCCCCACGTGTTGGCCAATGGAAAGAAGCCAAGCCTTACGCAAAGTTCCCAAATGGTGCTGTGTTGTGATGAGTTGAGATCTTCGCATTATGAATTATTAATCACGAAATGGAGAGTCAGGGAATTAATATGGGTCGATCGCAGCTTGATCCAGCCATCTGGGTATGATGACATGGCAAAGCGTCTGGGCCAAAGTGTGGAAGCGTGACTAGCTATACCTTCGTCATTATTAATTTACAAAATGATCGAAATGTCTATTGAATTGATTATGTCTGGGAATGGCTTAGGCCATGAGAATTAGCACGAGAGGTTACAAATCAGTTCTAACTTCAATGAACACGGGACGTTCCCCAAAGATTCCAGTACAAAGCTTCGAACAGAACTCTCTCGAACCCCAAGAAACATTGATATGTCATACTATCATGAAAGCTCTCTACATGTGTTTTCGTACTTTTATCCACATCCTTCCAGGTACAGGGCTACATGAATAAGAACCACGAGCTAGTATAGGGTAGTACAAAATTGGTTGCATTGCGAATCTGAAGACAAAGACGTCCTCGAATGTATTCTTTGAGAGATAGTACGGAGCTCTCTGGATATCTTGGCAACCTTGCTAGGAAAATCCTGTGACATTCAAGATATTACCGACTTTTCAACTTCAAATTTGGCCCCGTTTTGAAGCTCTTGGTGACATAGACAACTTTCCTTATTACTAGGTAGATTCAAGCAGCATACTTTGTTAGAATATGAATCCCGAGTTACGATAGCAATACAGTGATGAAGACACACCTCATACTCAAAGGGTATTACTGTATTGCAAATTTTTTCAGATGCGTTTATATAATTGTCATGCAACGCCCGATTAGAGCCCTCTCCACAGGTGATAATATCAGATGCCAAGGCTGAAAAAAAACACAGGGGGTGATTGCTGACGCCGGACTGGAATGATCAACATGATTCAAAAGTTCCTGCACGCAAAAAGGCCACAAACATTTTAGGAAGGTGTGGAACTGAATGGGTCGTATTGCTAGAAATATACGTCGATGAGAGAAAGAATTCGGAACTGATCCTCCGTCATTATTAAACTCAACCATCTAGGCGCACAATTTACCTCCACCTACGACTAAAGAGACACGACAATCATGAGAGTGAATGATGTGACAGTGGCATTGGCGGCAGCCGTTTCGGTCGCCGTCGCCGAAGTCTTCCCGCCACCAGGAGGCCCATTCCATGTGAGCTTGGAGCACTCGGAACTGGTCGACGAGAGTCGACAAGACCCTTTCAATTCGACCCACGCTCGTCGGATGATGATCACGCGATTTAAGCCAGTGCCTAAGAAACACTGTAAGAAGTTGTGCAATGTGCCCTACATGACTCCCGAGGTGGCCAAGGTTGAAGATGAGATTCTCGGTCCGTATCTCGAGGGCATCGTCGAATCCCCCGGTGACATGCTTCTAGGTCTCCAGCTGGAGGTCTGCTGCGAGGTACAGAAGACGGCACCAGCCAAAGTCTTTCCAAAAATCCTGTTTGGAACCGGTCTCAATACTACGCGGAGCTTCTATTTTGGCACCGTGCAGCAGATTGCGAGCATGGGCTACGAGATCGTGCTCATGGATCACCCGTACGAGACCGATGTGGTCCAGTTCCCGAACGGCGACCTCATTTTTGGCGGTCACATCGGACGGGACGTGGAGGATCTCGAGGACATCGTGTTCGGCCTGGAGGTCCGCACACAAGACGTCAAGTTTGTGCTTGACACATTCGGCATCGAGAAGACAGTCTACATCGGGCAATCCTACGGCGGAGCGTCTGCCGCAGCGGCTCTGCTCAACGAGACGCGTCTTGTCGCTGGTGTGAACCTGGACGGCGCGCTGTGGGGGAATGTTCAGCATACTGGTGTCGACCGACCATTTTTATCCTTTGGCTCCGTGGGCCACAACTCGAGCTTTGAGAGCGACCCGAGCTGGGCGAACTTCTTTGGTGCCATGGAGACGAACCACTCGCAGGTGTGGAATAAGGAGCTCAGCGTGCTTGATTCAATTCATGGAGCCTACTATGATTTCTCCATTATTGGAGATGTAACTGGGTTGAGAGAGAAGTCGGTCAGCTTCTTTGGGAAGATCACGGGGGAGAGAATGGACAAGATATTGAGGGAATACCTGAACGACTTCATACAGTTTACTCTGCTGGGTGGTTGTGAGGGTTTGCTCTCAGGACCGAGCACTGAGTTTGAAGATGTTCTTTTCATTCGATAGAGGCTACAGCTACTCTTGGGCATGCATCTCACTTAATACTGGAGTTAGATGTCACTGATATGCAAAGAATAATGATATTCATAGGTTCTTTTTTCCCCAACCCAAGTGATTTCTCCTTCCACATAGGAGAAACGATGAAGAGTTTGTTTAGAGTTATTTCATATCAAATTTTAGTAAATAAATGAACCTTGAGCTTACGGATCTTGAGGTCCCGCAGTTCTTGTGCTTAGCTGTATAGGAGTTTGGCTTACGGATTGGAGCTCATGATAACCATTAGCTTATGTCCCGGAAATGTGACAGATACAAAATGGAAAACCCCGAGAACCTTTTTAATCTTGAACTGTTCTAGAGTTTCTAGCAATTCGCTGCCCTGTTGTGACCTACCTTAATACTCACACCATTCTTAGACGAATGTCGAGAACCTTAAACAAATATCATCGAAGTAATGATCCGGACCTTGAGATCTGGAGTCGTGGTCACCTGGGCTATTGCCTCTACTTACTTTAGTCATCGCGGTAGAGACACTCGAGACCGGCCGGTTGATTTGTTACTAAGAAAGTCGAGAATGGTGATAAGACAAGGACAAGGGGGAAATGTAAGATGGTACGAAAGCAAATTAGGCTTCTCTAAGCAATAGTTTTTGCGTACAGGTCAGCTGGGGCCATTACTGCTTGGGGCTAAGACCGAGATACTCTGTACGCAGAGACTCATGGAGCGTATCCGCAACTTTTACCTTCCCTGTCCCTGCCGACTGAAGCAAAACGGGTCGAGACACTGAACACTCCTCTTCTTCTTTGTTACGACGGCACGTATCCGCAAGGCCTCTAGGAACGGGTACAGTGTTCCGCGACCACTAATCTCGAAGGTGTAATATGTGCTAAGTGTGATTATCGCGGACCGTTGTTGTAGCTAGAGACGCCCTTTGCCGCTCGCGGGATAGACTGAACGCTAAACGTCGCGAGACAACATTTTACGCGCCTCCCTCAAAGCTGTCCCGGTTGAAAGGGGCTGCTGGGCTCCGTAAATGCCTCGACTTCGCAGTTGTAGTGGAGGGTTCAGCTTGTTTGGGTTGATTCATTAGAGCGCTAATCTCGACCATCATTGGCTGCGGCTTCACGAAGCCGCCGCTTCATACCTCTAGTCCAAAGAAGTTGCTTTGATCAAATCAAAGGCTCGGCAGGTTTGGATATTGCCGCTGGTCAACACGCTCCCAGCAGGAGCTTGAGTCATGAAAGGAGCAGAACCAGGAAACACGGGGCGATTGGCCCATGATCGATCGGAGATCCGGATAACCCAGCGATTTGGTTTTGGAGGTGCCCACTCACACAAAGGGTGGAGGATATCTTCAGCAACTGCAGGGGTGATTCTTCTCCTAGCTTCCTCTAGTGCAGGCCTTCATTGCATTAGTGGCTGACCGGTGTTCACTGCTTCTACACACCTCCACGAGCTTCACTAGGAACTTCCTTTTTCCCAGTACCCGCCAATAGTGGCCTCGAGGAAAATTGCAAGGCCTGGCAATATTCCTGTTGAGCTCCACGGTTCGAACGGAGGCCTTGGATGTGTCTTGGCTATCCGTCACCTGAACTAAACAAGGTTGCAAGTGAGAAGCAAATAATTAAATTCCAGCTTTCCAGAAAGATTATTCTCCAGGTCAACTCTTAGCCCCTGAATTATCATAAGCCCAATGGTCAACCAACCTAACCAGATAATCGGGTCTGGCGGCTCCAATGTATGTTGTTCCAGGCAGTGGCAGCTCCCTGTACGCTGAGCATTTCGGCTTCCCGGCGTTCCAAGTACAACTAAACAGCCGCTTCAACGGTTCTCAAGGAACAAACTAAACGGCCGTCTATGGTAGCGTTGTAGATGAAACGCTTTGTTGGTGTCAGCCCCAGGATAAGGCGGCAAACCAGGGAAATTCGAGCCGAGGGTGTCGACGCCAGGTGTAAATAATTAGGTTCGTCAATTTCTCAACGCCACCAGGCTAGACGGCTTTTCATGATTAACCTGCGACTCCGCTCATGGAGAAGATCCACCAGATTCTGGCGATCTGCCGCAGCCACCTCAACCAACGCAGCCACGCCCGCTGTAGTGTTCCATCTCGAACCAGAGTTGTGGCGAAACGGTAATGAGTAGAATACGCTCAGGGGGCGAAGAAACGTGAGCAAGGGCTGTGTGAATCGGCGATGAAAACAGGCCTGCGTGTGAGGGTGTTCTACAGTCAGAGTAGCTCCTACAAGGAGCGAGAAGTTCCGCTCTATTAGCTAGTTGATAGTCAGCGTATGTACCCATAACCGCGTCTAATTACGATATGTAGTGGTGGCCCAAGATTATATTGTCTGGTTGGAAGTCTCTCTATGGTGCATGTAGCTAACGTATGCACGTGGGCTGCACTTGAATCCCTCGAGCAATAGAGGCTGTGTAGATACATGTAATACCATCCTATGTGTACATTTGGCGATGCGATGAATTATTTCCAGTGCAAAGATTCTACCAAACACTACATCATTGATGTCGATGTGAGGCTGGAGTCACGTGTGAAGTGACGGTGATCAAAGTCCAAAAGCAGAACGTGGCTGTCACATATCAGTTCTGAGCTAAAGCATGCATGTCTCAAGTATATCAAAGGGACTTCCGACAAGCACATACATAGCCTGCAAATCACGCGATCTCTGCCACATGCAGATCAACTACAACGACATTTCTCTAGCTTCATATCATGTCATAGCTACTTTTAATGCAATCTAGATCTCTATTTAGGATGAAGACGACCAGCAAGCCCATGTTTCAGCCTCAATCACTAGAATTGCAGCAGCATTCTTGATCAATTCTTCTCCACCGGTCACTTAAAACACTTGTTTGCAAAAGCTTAGATTTCTCTCATCTAGTGGAGAAGGGCAAGGCTGAAGCCATGCCCGGACTGCAGGATACGGAGTGAGGCGGCCTATTCCGATCCCATTTCAATTAAACACCACAAGTTATCTACGTCGACGTTGTGATGAATCTGTTGATCAGTTGGCTCGCCCATATGAACATCGGCGTGTAAATAGAACGCACGCCCTTGTCTGAAATAGCGACACCCATGCCACGGCGCTTGCTGGCGTCAACTGCCTTGTCGATAGTTTTCCACGTTGTGATCACTGATGGTATCGAGATTGCGCGGCTAGGCCCCGTTATGCTGAGACTTACCGATCTGGACCTTGCTGTTGACGATCCCTTCGTAGCCGCTTGGGGCATCGATCGGCGTCTTGTTTAGAGTAGACTTGAAATCCAGAACTGGCGTGATGCTGCTCATCTCTTCTCCTCGGTCAATCTTGCCTGCCAAGAATTTGATAGACGAAAAAAGGAAACCAAGCAACTTGAATAGGCAAAGATGGGAGTTCCCTTGCCTATAATTGATAGCATATTCTTCCTTCGATTGCCAGATCCAGATACGTCGGTCCTTTTTCAGCAATCGACAGAAACTGGCCCAGCAAAGGACCAGAACCCAGCTAGTGAGTGGGAACATGAACACATTCTCCTTGCAGATCACACTAGCGACCGTAGTAGAACTCACTAGGAGCCTGGCCAAAAGACGTGCGACAACCGGGGCACACAACTCCACCATTAAGGTTTGGGAGAAGCTGAGGGCTGGATAGCGATTGCCGGTAAGGAGAAGGGAGTGACATCCCTCCCGCACGATGTCCAGTTGTTTATTATAGGGGCTCGTATATGTTATATAAACGGAGACCTTTATGCAGATTTCGAGACAGTCAGGGGCTGTGGCAACACAAGAGACAGCCAAGACAGCACCGCACCGCGAATCTCCGGATGCAGGTAGACCCATTAAGCGGAATGCCACATTACTGGTGCCGGATACGCAAACGATGCAAACCCTGACGGCCTGAATGCATGCCTTCAAGGGTCCCCCCAGCGTGGAAGGTGGAGTATGATGCGTTTTTCTTCAACCGAAACTTGGCTAAGATTTTAGTACAGGACCTTGACTCGTGCTGGTTAACACAGTTCAGCCAGCAGCTGATTCTGGCTAGATGGTCGGACCCGTCGGCGTCCAGACGGACGGACTCTCCGAGAGGACAGCCAGGGACACTGGGCCAGGCTCATCCTCGAGGCAGGACGAGGGTCGCTCCAGAATCCCCGTAATATAAATCGCCTATACTAGATCTTGACTAGCATTTGGCCTGGGGATCAGCTTCCCCCAAGATTCGGCTAGCTCTTCATTCCTTCGACCTTCCTCCCCTCTCGAGTCGGCTGCGGATAGGCTTGCCGGCTTTTCATCCGCAGGCGGAGAGAGATGCCAGATCCAGGATGAGCCCAGTAAATTGCAACACACGCCACAGAAAGGATGCTTGGCGTCTCAACCGATAGTTTCTGCGACCGCGCCAGGTCTGCATGCTGGTCCTCGATTAGTGGGATTGTCGGTGCCTATGTGCCGCTTAGCAAATTGATGTTGCACACAGCATCTCCGTGGGTCTCGCTCTTCATCTTAGGTGGCCCCCCCTGCCGTATATACACACGACTGCTCTCAAACCTAGCGGGAGAAAAACTTAAACTGTTCAATTGTCGCAAACCTTCTTCGGACGATCGTTCTCATGTGTGATCAACGTCAGTATGGGTATAGAGAGCTATGATGCTTTCCGCGCACGCCTTGATGGCGCTGCCATCTCTACGTTCATTTTAGCTATGCTCGCCGTACCTGCGAAGCTCTGGTGTCGAACCAGAGTGGGCGGGTGGTCGAACATTGGCATGGATGACTGGTTATCAATTGCGACTCTGTTCTGGATGAACGTGTTCTTCTGGATCACAATGATCGGTAAGTCTAGCCCCTTTTCAACCAGATATCGTTCAACATTTTGGTTTCCATCATCAGTCCGGTATTTCTCACAACATGCCCAGGTCTACGGCCGTATCTTGGTCGCGATGCCGGTGTCGATGTCCCGATGGATGAGGTCGAATTGTTTGCCAAGTGCCTCTTCGCCGCCGCCCTAACGTACTGCGTCGCCATCGCATTCATCAAGTTCACCATCTTGGCCTTTTACTGGAAACTGTTCTCCGTTACTGCCCGAGTACCAATTATGGTCATTTTCGCCTCTGTCGCAGGCTGGCTCATCACTTTCGTATGTACTCTTCCTTGACCACCTCTTCCGACATACGAAGCGGAAACGCAGTGGGGGGAATTGGTGATACTAACCTGCCTTCGTTCATGTAGCTGTGTCTTGGAGCTTTTGGTTGCCAGCCTATCAAGGCCCAATGGGACTTTGTCGCAATGCAAACAGCCAAGTGTCTGCCGCAAAAATCGATCTATCTGGGAGGCTCCCTACCGAACGTCATCATCGATTTCGTCCTCGTCCTCATGCCTATCCCCTACGTCTGGGGACTCAACGTCCCTCTCGGCCAGCGACTGATCCTGGCCAGCATGTTCCTGCTCGGTCTCTTCGTCTGCATCGTCTCCATTATCCGACTTACCGAGGTCATGTCCATTTCGACGAGCGACACCAACATCACCTACAATCTCAGAAACTTCATGCTCTGGTCCGTTGTCGAGATCAACATCGGTCTCGTCTGCTCCTGTCTACCCAGTCTTCGCCGGCTCGCGAAGACTCTCGGCCTCGGCAGCCTATTCTCCCGAGGCTCGAGCGCCAACAAGGCCTCTGGCACCCCAGGCGGCAACACCCCTGCGCCGACGACTGCAGGAGGAAATACGGGAAACCAAAGCAATGGTGGCGGTAGCCGGTTCCACTCGATGTTAAAAAGCAGGGGTATCTGGTCATCGGTGGCAGGCCTGACAAAGTTGGACAGTGACGAGGAGTACCAGATGATCGACCATCAGCACAAGCACGCGGCCAATCCACAGGGGAAAACCACGACCGGAGTCACAGGCGAGCGTCGGAGCAGGGACACGGAAGACGACAAGGACCACAGCGTGAGGACGATGGACGACCAACCAGGCATAACAGTGCATCACGATTGGAGTGTTGTGGTCGATAACAAGTCGACCGCTACGAGATGACCCTAAAAGGGAACAAAAGGAGGTAGAGTTTCATCCCGCTAGTCCAGGGAAAACAGCATAGGGCCCGGGTTTGTAAATTTGGCATGCATGTACTAGATATTATGATCATAATAGAATATATTTTAAGCATCCTTCTTCTACCACCAACGTATTGATGGCTGACCCGATTACCACCTACCATAAGGGGTAATTGACCTGTCAGGAGCTGTGAACGAGCCGATTCGCTGCCCAAGCTCCTCTGAGCCGCGGCACTTCTTCGGGGTCCATGATCCTTCCCGCGCAGGACAAGCTTGCCAGTACGCTCTGGCCTGTCTGTTGTAGTGAGGCCTATTATAGCTGGTGACAGTGTCAGTATACTTGCTTTAGCCTCTTTCAAGCTCATTTCGTTTTAGGGTCGTTATCTAGCTAGCCAATATCGATCGAGCATTATTGCCAATGAACTGCTGCCTAATATCAACAATTAACTCATCGTACCAATTTGTTGAATGGGTCGTATTCTTTCACCCTGATCGGTGTTGGAGGTTTAGTACACAATCAAGTAGTATCTTTTCCATTTTGTCGTCTTTATTTCCTTAGTTGTATAGTAACAATTTCCGTTTCCATTAGCCACGAGAATCAACGCGCCCCCCTACGTTCTTGAAGATTTGTAGCGTTTATGGATCATGAAAGATAATAGAAAGGAGCTTCGTTCTTATGTCCAAGAACCACCTTCTACGACTACCTGTGGTCCATGTTGCTAATAATATTTTTTAGTAAACAACTTGATAATTTGTTATTTCTTTTACACTTACCTTCTTATTTGCTATATACATTATGTGAAGAGTGATTCTTAGATGATTTTATTTGTTCTCCCCCCCTTCCTCTTTGAACCCTTTCTTTATTACTTGTTTTCCTATTTTCTGTAAGATCAGGCTACACGTGACTAGGTCTCAACGCCAAAGGAGGTCCATGTCTGACAGGCACACAAAAAACATCTCTAATTCGGAATTCAAATCCATACAGATGAAGCAGCAAACGCCAATGCCTTCATAGGGATTTACTTAATACCGTTTGAGACTTTTTCTCGCTGCTTCACTCAGCTCTGTCGTTGGTTAAAAAAAAAAGAAAAGAAAAAACTCAGCCCGAAATAGTCTCGATGGGCACATGCACGGAAGATCAGACAAGAGGCGCTTTTGGGCCAACATATATTCATGAGCCTCAGGCAGAACACACCCATACCATCATTCTGCTCCATGGGCGGGGGAGTTCGGGTGAGGAGTTTGCCGAGCAGCTTTTCGAGGATCGACTATCGGACCAGTCGAAAACTCTGGCGGAGAAATTTCCCAGCTGCAAATGGGTTTTCCTGTCCTCCCCAGAGGTTTGGGATCCGGTATTCCAGGAGGATATTTCTGCTTGGTTCGAAGCACATTACCTCACGGACGTTGATGCCCGGCAGGACCTGCAGATTCCTGGGATCAGGCAATCCGTCGAGTACGTATTAGCCTTGCTGGGTCAAGAGATTGATGCCCTTGATGGGAGGGCAGAGAGTGTCTTTCTGGGCGGCATCAGTCTGGGAGGGGCCGTGGGCATATGGACTTTCCTGTGCTTGTGGAATGCGCCAGTCCCCAGACGCATCGGGGGTTTCTTCGCAGTTAGTACATGGCTCCCTTTCTCCAAAAATATCAGCCGAGTTTTCAATAAGGGTGAGAATTCCAGGTCAGAGTTGCCAAGTGATAACTCTGAATCTGACGCGTTTGTCGAAACCATGCTCTCATCTGCTATTGCCAAAGCACAACAACAAAATTCTTCATTTCTATCTATACCAGTATTCCTAGGCCATGGATCAGACGATGCATATGTTGATGTCAACTTGGGAAGACAAGCAAGGGATTTATTACTCAAAGTAGGGTTTGAGGTAGAATGGAAGGAGTATGCGGGGGCAGAACAAGAGGGACATTGGTTAAAGTGTCCAGACGAGCTGGATGATATTGCTTCTTTCTTGTCTCGAAATATCATTTACTGATCAATGCTAAGAAGAAGTATCTGGTAGCCCGGGATTGAGTGTTCTCAATCCCAGGTGTGGGCTGCAATCCAACATATCAGACAAGTCACAGCGATTGACGAATATCTTTCTAGTCGGCACAAGCGAGTCATACTTCACACTTAGCATCCCATAGAGCGAATCTCAATTATTTTCAAAATGCCAACTACTGATATTCAGCGAGTTACTTGGGTAGTCATGTCATGTTCGCTGTTCAACTTTGTGCTTATCTGAAATGCCGCATGGTCTTTGCCTGCGCAAACCGAAGGCGCTCATTGCAGTAGTAATTAATTCTATAGACATTCTCATCTCAAGCTCCATGTGAGCGTGTTCTGATACTATTCCGTGCTCGATCAATACGCAAGTGGAGAACCTAAGGCCAAGAAAAGCGGTGGGGAAGGAGAGGCTCAGGCTCATCAATTGGTGAGAGCGGAATCAACAGATTGAGTACTCCGTCCGTCGATACACGTGTTTGGCCTGTCACGACCGTCCTCGTGGTCAAGTCCGCCGAAATATATAATAAACAGGTTCGCCCAAGTTGCGCCGACATAGAAATTAATTACAATTACTGTGTCTCCTGCAAAAATCCGATTGACAAGGCTCATCAGATTCACATCTCTTTCCGACTCCAATCACTCTTCACCCCACACAACTGCTAATTCTCACCATGGCGGCAACGGAGCTATCGCAGCGGGAGCTGGACAAGGCCAAGGCACTCACCAACGCTCCTGTTTCCGTCGAGTATGACAAGATGATATCCGGCATGTTGTAAGTTTGAACGGAGTTTCCTGTGACGTCCAATAGTAGAATTGTAGAAAAAGTAGTTAATCCGTGCTCGAATCCAGATACAACTCCTTCGTCCCAGAGCTTGAAGATGCACGCTTCAAGGCCCGGCTCGCATGCCACAACTACAACACCAAATTCCCCGCCAAGCCCGAGGAGGGCTTCGCGGGCCTACAGAAAGCGCGCGGGGCAATGCTCAAGGACCTCCTCGGCTTCATCGCCGACGACGAGATCTACATTGAGCCCCAGCTCCAGGTCGACTACGGCTGCAACATCCGCATCGGCGAGCGCTTCTACGCCAACTTCAATCTCCACATCCTGGACTGCGCTGTCGTCACCATCGGGGACCGTGTCATGTTCGGCCCAAACGTCACAATCAGCACGGCGACGCACGAGATCGAGGTCGAGAGTCGCCGGGCCAACATTGAGTTTGCGAAGCCCATCACCATTGGGGACGATTGCTGGATCGGCGCCAATGTGACCATCCTCGCGGGCGTCACGATCGGCGAGGGATGCACAATTGGAGCTGGGGCGATCGTCAACAAGGATGTTCCTGCTTGGAGTGTTGCTGTGGGATGCCCTGCCAAGGTCGTGAAGAAGGTCAATCCAAGTCCTCTGCCTGCAAAAGAAGCGTGATGTAAAAAAAGAAATCTAAGAAGAAGAACACGAATGACGGGTAGCCACCAGCAAGTTCGAGGAGTTACACCAGGAGGAATCCCACCCTTTTCAACCTTTCAAAGTTAGACCAAACACGAGATTAAATAAATAAAGTTCTTAACAAGAAGAGGGAAATAGAATATCTATTGCCTGATTGTCTCGAGGACCCCGCTTCGTTCACCAAGGCCCATGCAACTCCTCCACTCATATCCGGCTGTGACTGTTTAAGTGCCGAGGCTGTTTTCAGTCCCTCTCCCACTTTCAAATTTCAGTGGCCGTCTATCCATAGCCCTTTAACAGGCACAGGGTCGAGTGTCGTGGGTGAAACTAGCATAAAGTGGCAATGGTAACGTCACCCAAAATTGTCATCCCTCCCAGATCAAACACCAAGCCAGACGCCAGACCATATTCCACTTCTTTTCACTTCTTTTCAAACATACACATTTATATACACAAAAATGATCCATCTTCCGAGAACAACCCCGATCATCGTCGGCGTCGGCGAAGTGAAGAACAAATCACTTCACCTCGACGACGCCATCGAGCCGGCAGACTTGATGGCCTCCGCAATACGAGAATCCTTCAAAGACACGGGAGCCAGCGAGACCGATATCCGCTCAGCAATTGACACTTTGCTGGTTGTGCCGCCATGGACGTGGCCATACGTTGATTTGCCGGGCGTGATCTCGAAGATGGTCGGTTTCTCGCCATCCCACTCCCAGGTGGGAGTACATGGAGGACACCAGCCCAACGAGTGGTGTGACGAGGCCGCAAGACGGGTTTCCACGGGGGAAAGTAAGGCGGTGGTCATTACAGGGGGTGAGGCTCTTGCATCACGTATGTCGGCTCACTAGACTCCCAAAGTACTGTTTTCTCCTGACATATCTCGATAACTATACACAGTGAAAGCATGTAGGAAGGCTGGCAAGATCATCCCGCCAGGGTGGGCTGAACCAGATCCCGAGAAGCAACCTATACGGGTAGGGGATCTTTCAGCTCGTGAACAAAGTAGGGAGCCAGAGTTTAGCTCATTGTGCCGTATTCTAATACGATGAAAATTAGACATCGGGACAAAGCATTCAATTGGGTTACCCATTCATATCTACCCAATGTACGAGAACAGCCTGAGGGCATATACACGTCAGTCATTCGGAAAGAACACTCTTGAGTCTGCACAACTATACGAGGCCTTCGATAAAGTCAGTAGTCAGAAAGAGTACAGCTGGAGGAGCAGAGAAGTTGCGAGGGATTCAAAAGAAATCGGGACGGTGACCAAGAAGAATAGGATGATTTGCTCTCCTTGTAGGTCATACGTTTGCCAACCGAGGAAGCCCAGACAAGTGTATGTCACTGACTCTAAATCAACCAGATCCTCTTTTAATGAATGCCTTCAACACCGTGAACCTTGCAGCAGCTTGCCTCATCACTTCCATCGAGCAGGCTGAGAAACTAGGCATCCCCGAAGAAAAGTGGGTGTATATCTTGGGAGGCGCAGGTACCCACGAGAGGGAGCACTGTAAGTGAGAATAAATGCGGTCTCAGGGTATGTATCGTAATACTAACACCCCTAGTTTGGGAGCGGTCAAATTTCCACTCCAGTCCCGCCATGGAACAAGCTCTCGATGCTGCTCTGGAGGTGTCTGGTGTAACCAAGTATGAAATAGATGCCTTTGATATCTACTCGTAAGTTAAGTCTGTGCAATCATTCACCTTTGGTTTTTCCGTCTTACCGTGCTGCCTGATTAGATGCTTTCCCATTGTTCCCAAGCTGGCCTGCAGGCACTTGGGGCTAAACGTGGTTTCTCCATCCAGGCCAATAACTCTTCTCGGAGGTCTCACTTCGTTTGGCGGAGCAGGGAATAACTACTCAATGCATGTACGTAGGCTGTTGGGGATATATCTACAATAGAGTCACTGACAAGAAGCAGGCTTTGGCGGAAATGACCCGACAGATAAGAAGTGGCACATTTCAGAGAGGGCTTGTCCTGGCAAACGGCGGTGTGCTTTCCCATCAACACGCGGTATGTCTTTCTTCCCAACCCAGGAAAGACAAGGACGTATACCCCAAGGAGAATCCTCTACCGGACATTGCAATTGGGGAAGCTTGGGGGACCCCATTCAAGGAGGTTGCGGAGGGCGCCGCATTCATCGAGGTAGGAATGTATTCAGTGTGATTGGCGACCAGTGCTCGGTATGGCTGCTTACAGAATTGACAGACTTACACTGTTGAGTACAACCGCGACGGCCAGCCAAGCATAGGACTCATCGTCGGCAGGCTGAAGAATGGCGGGCACCGCTTTCTTGCCAACCATGGCGACAAATACACACTTCAAAAGCTGGCAGATACTAATTGGGAGCATATTAACCAGCAAGGCAGGGTAAGCGGCAGCGATGACGGGAGAAACTTGTTCTTCTTCTCGGCCGAGTCTAAGATTTAACGCAAGCGAGATGCAGTAAGGTCTAGATCTAGACTTCTAATATATGTACATGGAACGGATGATTTTATGCCCTCAAATGTCGTGTCTCTCATTTCCTTTTCTGTCTGGGTTTCAATTCACTCTATGAGTCGAGCCCTGGGCAGTTCTCAGAGGTCTCGGCAGTAATTTCGTCGTAGGGCGAAGGCACCGTCCAAATCACATCGTAGCGATCTTCGGGGTAATTTTCAATATCCTCGGCACCAAGCGCCTCGAGAATGTTATTCATCTGACCATGCTGCCAGCTGTTGATCGGAGGGAAAACACAGTCAGCGTCAATTGCGCATGAGGGTTGGGGGGTGGTTTATTACCAGAGAAGAATGTTTCCATCTCCCTCGTAGTTCTTGATCAGCTTCTTGACGCATTTGCTATCATCGCGGTCGCAAGAGGTGTCTACCTCGAGACCAAGATCGCCGGCCACCGGGGCGACAGTGTCATAGGGTCTCTTTCTCTTGCCGCCTATGGAGGATTTCAGATCAATAAATGGATTCAACCAAGGTTGGGATTGATTGCAGAGGTGAAAATAGACTCACTCTCCTTGTATTCTTGGGCGATGACATATCCAATGTTATACTGCGACGAGCTTCCAAAGACGGTCCGCAGGCATTGAGCGCGCTGCTCGCCTTCTGGGCTCAATCCGACACTGCCATCGTCAGGCTTCTCGCCATGACGGATCATATAGAGGGTGGGCTTGCAGGCAGCCAGCGAGGCGAGCAGCAGAATCGCGAGAGACTTCATTGTTGCGATGGCTGAACTGTGCAAGGTAAAAACTGACCAACTTGGCCAGTGCGTGCGTGATGGGATGGGATGGGATTTCGGATATTATGTCAGATCCACCAAAGAGCAGGCTTCTGAGGAATCGATCATTTCAGGCGCTTCCCTGTCGCTGCTCTGCTCCCGACTGAACTAAGGCAGGATGCGATTTTAATACTTCACGCGACCAGCAGCCACTTCCCTACAAAGCCTCAGCTGAAGTGAGGGACAAGAGGTCCGTCGAGCCTCTCGAAAGTGCGCATGTGCAGGCCCTTGCACGCAGCTGGCCCACGTGCAATGTTCACGATCAGTCAC